GGCTGGCGGGGGGGGGGGCTGTGCTGGGAAGGCCGCGCCTGCGCACCTGCTCCTCTGGGCCCGGGCCACCGTGTGACCCCGCGGCCGGGCCTCACGTGTAGTGCAGTAGGTGGCGACTCCAGGCTGGTGACTCGCCCTGCTGGGGGCTTGCGGTCCAGGGGCCTGGGGTCAGGCCGGCCGCATTGTCCCTCGTGGTGTTTTTAAGGAAAGCCTGGCCAGGCCGACCTCACTCACCTGTCTGGCTCAGCGAGGCTGTGGTGTCCATCTTCGCTCTTCTGATGATCCGACGGCCCAGGCTTTGCATCCCACGCCGGTTCTTTCCGCTGAGATAGCCCAGGGTAGCGAAGTCACCCTTCCCAGACGTGGCCCGAGCCCCTTCACTTGCGGAGTGGCTGCTTGAGCCTGCTGCTTCCCTGGCTTCCCGCTGGGTGTGTGGGCGCCGCACACCCGCGCCCTCGCTTCCCTCCGCCACGTTCCTTGAACGCACTGCAACCACCTGCGCCGCCCAGGAGAGGGCGGGACAGTGGCCTTGCCAGTTGATCCCCATCTCAGGTTCACCTGAGGTGTTCCTGTGTTTGCAAGCTGCTGGGCTGAGGTGTATCTGCTTCTGTTTTTCAAGGCCTTGCGGGTGGGCGGGGAGGGAAAGGTCCCCCACATTAACTGCACACTGAAGCCATTTGGGAACCAGAAAAATACCGCAGGCTCCCAGCCTCAGACCTGAGTCTGTCAGCTCCTGGGGTGGTTCTGATGTTAGCAGAGTTGGGGAGCCCATCCCCTAGGGGTTTACATATTGATCGTGAATAATTCATCCAGAAACCGTTTAATAGATCCTGATCTTGGGGTGGGGTGATCTTGGAATCTGCCCACACCCCCCCCAAGGGAATACATAACAGGAAGAAGAGCTGGTCTGGCTGCTCATGTCTGTCCCGTCTGCACTGCATGCTGAGAGTACTTGAGACATTTTGCTGAGGACCTAGCTGAGAGATAAAGTGTGCTTGTGTGCTTGAGACCCTGGGTTTGAACTCCAGAACCCAACAGTTCAGCCAAGCATCAGGTATGGAGCTGACATACCCATCTGACCTCTATCCAAGGTGGAACTCGGTGTTCTGGTAGTTCCCCACGCCACAGCTGTAGATGGTGATGCGCCCTCCAAATAAAGACTCAGCTGGTAAATGAACTCTCATTCCTGGAGGAACATAAGCATTGACAGCAAATCTCATACAGCTTTAGCTCTTGCCTTTTTTTGGGGGGGCGGGGGAGGAGCAGAGAGTGGCTGGTACTAAGACTTGAACTCCAGGCCTGGGTATGCTGGTGTTCTACCACTTGGAGTCACAGTTCCACTTCCAGCTTTTGGGAATTAATTGGAGATCAGAGTCTCATAAACCTTCCTGCCCAGGCGTTTTGTTTTTGATTTTGATTTGTTTGTTTTTTGGTCAGTCATGGGATTGAACTCTGGGCCTGGGCACTGTCCCTAAGCTCTTCAGCTCAAGGAGAAGAGTGCTCTACCACTTGGGCCACAATGCCACTTCCAGTTTTCTGGTGGTTAATTGGATAAGAGTCATGGACTTTCCTGCCCAGGCTGGCTTTGAACCACGATCCTCAGATTTCATCCTCCTGAGTAGCTAGAATTACAGGCGTGAGCCACAGGCACGGGGCTGAACTCTTCTTGGCTTTTGTTCTCATGAGAGGATTAATTCACGTCCACCTGGAAAAGTCTGGGCTGCAGAAAGTATCCCTAGCTGTGTTGGACGTTAGGATAACGGTAGGCACAAGTACCTATTGAACTCTAATACTCCAGATTGAAATGCTTCGGAACTGTAAGGTGCACACTGGATTTAGAGGAGTAAGGATTTTGAAAAGCAGTAATGCTTCGCACTCAGATAGCTTTCTAGATTCAAGGGATTGTGTGAGTGTGTGTGTGTGCGTGTGTGTGTGCGCGCGCGTTCGCTTTCTTAACTTTCTGATCTAATGAAAGTTAGCAGAGTTGTGGTCTCTTCTCCCATAGAGCAACCCTTTCTCCAAGACAGACCTTCTAAATTCCCAGTTATCAAATCCTGTTAGTCGCATGATAATGAAATAGCTAATCACATGATAGTGATGATTGTGAAACTGTCTCTGATTTAGCAACTCCCGGTATTTGGTGGTAAAACAATAGTGGCCTTCCTGTGCTAAGGGTCTCTGTGTCCAACTGGAAGATGGAAACTCCCACAGATGCATTCTTAGAAGTCCAGAAGAAGAGCTCATCAAGGAAAAGGCCCAAGCCGAGACCCAGCAGGGACTCCAGGGACTGCTGAGAGCCAACAGCGCACAAATGAGTAACCCAAGCCAGTGAATTGCTGCTCTTAGCATCTATGCCTTACGAGATTTTTTTTTTTTGTACATGTGCCAGTAGTGGACCTTGAGCCTCAGGACCATCGCTCTCGCTTGACTTCTTTGCATTCATGGCTGGTGCTCTACTATTTGAGCCACATCTCCTGCATTTTCTTACCTTTAGAAACAATTGTGTAATAGCCTCTGGTACCAGGTGCACAGCAGCTCAACAGGGGAAGGATTCTGATTGCTGTACTGTACAAACGTTGTTCTAAACATTTGGCACACATTACCTCATTTAACCTCCCAACAATCCTCAAGGGTCTGTCTTATTCCCATCTCTCAGGTGGGAAAAACAGAGGCTCAGGTCAGTTGAGCCACTTGGCCCAAGATTAGGGCCCATGAGTCGGGGAGCTGAGCTGGGAGACATGGCTCCAGTCTGTGCTCGCATGTCCTAACCTCTCTGCACCAACACCTTGAGCCTCCCAGTATCCTCCCCAGTACTAACACCTGCTCTTCAGAAGAGAGAAGCATACAGGAAGCTGAATTCCTGGGGGAAAAAATAGGACACTGTAGAAAGTGCTTTAAGACTATGGCTCATGCCTGTAATCCTAATTATTCAGGAGGCAGAGATCTGACGATTGTGGGTTGAAGCCAGCCCAGGTAGACAAATCCCAGAGTTTCATTTAAAAATTTTTTTTGACTTTAAAAAATTTTTTTTTTTTTGGTCTGGTCGTGGGGCCTGAACTCTGGGCCTGGGCGCTGTCCCTCAGCTCTTCAGCTCAAGGCTAGTGATCTACCACTTGAGCCACTTCCAACTTTTTTTGCTTATGTGGTGCTGAGGAATCAAACCCAGGGCCTCAGGCATGCAAGGCAAGTTGCTCTACCACTGAGCCACCTTCCCAGCCCCCCCTTTTTTTTTTTGACATTTTAAAATTGTTATTGGAGAGGAGATACAAAGTTACAGTTACAGAAGTCAGGTAGTAAGTACATTTCTTTTTGAACAGTGTCACCATTCCCTTTGTTTTCTCCTAGTTTTTCCCTCCCCTTCCAACATACCAGTCCCCCCACCCCACACAACCAGACAACCAGAGAGTCTTTTTTTTTTTTTTTGGTCGGTCTTGGGGCTTGAACTCTGGGCATGGACTCTGTCCTTCAGCTCTTCAGCTCAAGGCAAGCGCCCTAGCACTTGAGCCACAGTACCACTTCCGGTTTTCTAGTGGTTTATTGGAGATAAGAGTCTCATGGAGTTTCCTGCCCAGGCTGGCTTTGAACCGTAATCCTCAGATCTCAGCCTCCTGAGTAGCTAGGATTACAATCATGAGCCTCTGGTGTTCAGCTTAACCAGAGATTCTTATCTCTAAGTAATGAGTAAAAAGTTGGAGGAGGAGCTGTGGCTCACGTGGTAGAGTGACAGCTTGAATGAAAAGCTAAGGAGAGTGCAGAGCTCTGAGTTCAAGTCCTAATACCCTTGTGTGCGCACACACACACACGAGATAACATTTATTGAGAATTTATGAATTTATCTCCTGTGTTCTGACTGCTGTGTGCAGTCCTGGGGCATGAACTCTCAGGGCTTAGATGCTGTTCCCAGTGGGTTGTTTTTATTATTTTTTCTTTGCTTAAGGCTAGTGCTTTACCACTTTGAGCCACAGGGCTACTTCCAGTTTTCTGGTAGCTCATTGGACATAAGAATCTCATGGGGCTTTCCTGCCCTGGTGGCTTTCAACTACAAGTCCCTGGTTGTAGAAGGGGAAATGTGGTCTCTAGAAGCAAAGCCACTTTGCAAAGTCACATAATTAGTAAACTTTCTTCTTCCAGCCTCTCTGGCTACAGAGGCTCCTGGCATCAGTTCAGAGTCTCTGAATCCTAATGGTACTGTTTTCTTTTATAGGTGGGTGTTTGTATGGGAAAAGGGCTACCAGGAAATGGACTCTGTGGTCAGCTCAGTTACTACCAAGGCCAAAGGAGTGGCTGTGACCAACTCTTCGAGCCTCGGCTTCCGGATTTGGGATGTGGCTGACTATGTGATCCCCCCTCAGGTATCTCCCTGCACCTCTGGTGTGCGTGTTCTTTACTGAATGTGCACGTGAAGCTCTAACATGTCTGATGCCCAGGCTGATTGTTTGCAGCCGTCTCTCTTTGGGCAGGCAGCTTGAAAACTAGGTGCTTTTAGCCTGAGACCATGATTTTTGGTTTGTTTGTGTTATTGGTTGTGGGGCTTAAACTCTGGGCCTGGGTGCTGTCCCTGAGCTTTTCTGCTTAAGGCTAGTGATTTACCACTTTGAGCCTCGGCTCTACTTCTAGTTTTCTGGTGGTTAATTGGAGATCAAGAGTCTCATGGACTTTCGTGCCTAGGCAGACTTTGAACTGTGATCCTCAGATCTCAGCTTCCTGAGTAGCTAGGATTATAGATGTGACTTACTGGCTCCTTGTTTTTTTTTTTTTTTTTTAATAAGGACATCATTGCTTGTCTTAAACCCTGAAAGCAAGAAGCAAGAAAATGTCTTAAATCCTAGGGGGGGCAATCAGGGAGAAATAGTACCTTCCCACATTTTGTATTTGTATTATTATCATACACCTATACAGCAAATCCTGTCAGAGAATGAAACAAGTTCAACAGCAATGCCAGCCTAGGACCAGACCCAGGGAAAATAGTGTAGAATCCCTTGAGGATTAAAGGGATGGAGAAGGTTGCAAGTTAATATCCTGGGGTGGTTTTTGTTTTGGGGGGAGTGTGTGTGTGTGTGTTGGGGTTGGAAGCCAGGGCCTTGCACCTTCTAGGCAAGCACCCCAGTACTGTATCCCCGGCCCACAGCTGCAAATTAAACACTGACACGTGGCCTAACGTGATATGCCCCTCCAGAGGGCAGCAGTGACCAGGGCGGCTGCCCGCTCCTGGTTCCTGGCTCAGAGCCGGGAGAAGGCAGGCGAGGTGTCCACGCGCTGTGAGTGCGCTCTGAGTGTACTCACCAGCCCCGGTCTCCTCACGTGAGGGACCCACAGAGAAGCTTCTAGGTTGAATGGATCAGGAGATTGGCCGGTGGCCTTGCTGGCAGGCTCCGTCCCGGTCTGCTGGGGGCTGTGGAAGCTGGGGAAGGTTGGAGGCTGGGCTGCCCCACGGCCCTGCCTTCCACCTCCCAGATGGGCAGTGTGGTCACCACCTGAGGCTCTCCACCGGCTCTTGTTTCTCCGTGCCTCTCTGTGTGGGGTGTGATCAGTGCATCTACTCGGCTCCCTACATTTGAAATGAAAGAGACCGTGTCTTGAGAGGCTTAGGAGCAGACTCCCAGACACCAGCGAAGAGGCGTGGGCCCGTGAGAGACGCCCCTTCCACCAGAGTCATTGCCTGTCCCTGACAACATTTGTTCTAGGCCTTTCTTTTTTTTTTTTTTTGGGTCCGATCATGGGGCCTGAACTCTGGGCCTGGGCACTGTCCCTCAGCTCTTTAGCTCAAGGCTAGCGCTCTACCCCTTGAGCCACAGCACCACTTCCAGCTTTTTCTTTTTGCTTATGTGGTGCTGAGGAATCGAACCCAGGGCCTCAGGCATGCAAGGCAAGCGCTCTACCACTGAGCCACTTTCCAGCCCCTAGGCCTTTCTTTACCTAGAACAAATGCCTAGAAGCCTCCACCTTGTCAGACTAGGGGTGGGTGTGTCCAGTCACCTGATCTCCACTGTGGCTCCCAAGCTGGCTCTGTTTGTCTTAGGAGCATCAACTGCTGGGAGTTTCCAGATTTTTTTTTTGTTTTTTTGTCGGTCGTGGGGCTTGAACTCTGGGCCTGGGCGCTGTCCCTCAGCTCTTCAGCTCAAGGCGAGCGCTCTACCACTTGAGCTACAGCGCCACTTCCGGTTTTCTGGTGGTTTATTGGAGATAGGAGTCTCACGGTCTCTCCTGCCCGGGCTGGCTTTGAACTGCGATCCTCAGATCTCAGCCTCCTGAGTAGCTAGGATTACAGGCGTAAGCCACCAGCGCCCGGCTTTTCCAGATTTTTTTTTTTGTGCTAATACTGGGGCTTGAATTCAGGGCCGTGTGGTGCTCTCAGCGTTTTCTGCTCAGGTCTGGCCCTGTGCCACTTGAGCAATATCCCGACCTTAGCTTTTTGCTGGTTAACAAGCGCGTAACTAGGCAGTGCTCTCTGTTCTCTCTACAGGAGGAAGACTCTCTGTTTGTCATGACCAATATGATCATCACCACAAACCAGACCCAGAGCACCTGTCCCGAAGTAGGTGGCTTTTTGGCAAAGCACCTCAGGCCCACTACGGTCCACATGGCCAGCTGGACCACACAGATCGTGTTCCCACCCATTCTCCCTCCAGATCCCTGATAAGACCACCTTGTGTGATTCGGACACCGACTGCAGGGCCGGCTCTGCGGGCACCCACAGCAACGGTAGGAGTGAGCGGGGCTGAGTTCCGGGGACGCTGATCCCCTCCCCCCAGTCCCGCCTCCCTCCTTGCCCCACAGTGGCTCCCAGCAAGCCGCTGCCCCAGGAGAATCTCTGTGGAAATTGCTAGCATAAAGATCCCCCCCCCCCCGCCCACAGTAATTTGGGGGATGTTGCGCTGTAGCAGAGCGCAGGCGTGGGTGAGGTTCTAGGTTCCATCCCTGACATTAAAAAAGAAAATAGCCATAGCCCTGGGTGAGGCTAATGCACCTGGGACACGGGGCCCTGTGGGGACCTGTGCTGTGGGGGCCCCAGAAGCCAGCCGTGCCATGTGCCTGTCCCGTTCTGTCACTGGCTATCACGTTGGCCCTGCTGGCAGCGTGGCCAGCACTCAGGTGGCATTTGCGTGCCAGTTCTGTCACCCCAGCATTGAACTTGCTCCAAATTGGCCCCACAGGGGTTCGGGGTAGAAACAGGGTTCTCATTCCACCCCGCAAAGGGAGGACATGGAGACCCCCAGACACCTGGAGCCATTTCCCTGCCCCCCACAGGAGTGGAGACTGGCAGATGCGTGCCATTCAACGTGTCCGTGAAGACCTGTGAGGTGGCGGCCTGGTGCCCTGTGGAGGACGACACACGTGTGCCCCGGTGAGGCCCAGCCCGGCCTTGCGGGGCTGCCCAACCTTTTCCCAGCCTCAGGGGAGGTGACAGTGCTGACTATGTAGTTCTGGCTGGCCTAGAACCACAGTCTTCCGGCCTCAGCCTCCCTTGGACCTGGGGCCTGGAAGCTGATCAGGAAGACTGTGAGTTGGAGGCCAGCCTGGGCCCGTGGGGGACTGTGTGCCCCACTTGCAGTTTCTTCTGGGGGAATTAGAGGTGCCGATTGCGCCACACTGCAGACGAGCTCACCAAATGCCACAGAACTGGTTGGTTTCTACATGGCTCATTTTATGACATGTGGATTAGAAAGAACAAATCTGGTCTTAAAAGAGATGCACGGGGCTGGGAAGGTGGCTCAGTGGTAGAGCGCTTGCCTTGCATGCATGAGGCCCTGGGTTTGATTCCCCAGCACCACATAAGCAAAAAGAAAAAAAAGCCAGAAGTGGTGTTGTGACTCAAGTGGTAGAGCGCTAGCATTGAGCTGAAGAGCTGAGGGACAGCGCCCAGGCCCAGAGTTCAGGCCCCAAGACCAGACCCCCCCAAAAAAGAAAAGGGGTGCGCATGGGGTGCACCCTGGAAACAGAGCTGCTAAAGTACACCAGAAACTTGACAAAATGGCAGGCCTGAAGGCCCCTGCTGTAGCCCTGCCCTCTCTAGGAGGGCGTGGGGCCTTGGCTGTGGGCCTCTGCCCGGCCCAAGCCATCACCTCTCATAGCCTCTCGCTGTGTGGCCCTCTCCTGGCCTTGCTCCTGGGGCAGACCAGTGACGTCACTCTGAACGCCAGGTTCTCTCATAAGGAAAAATCCACCTTGTGGACCAGTTCAGCCGTCCTGTCTGCCGGGAGCTGATGTGGCACCTGTGACATGGGGCAGCCTGCCTGCCAGCTGGCAAATGCTATGTGTACTTTGCCACTGAGACCCGGATGCAGGCAAAGCCACCTTTGCTTTGACTTGTCAAACCAAATCAATCAGACAGCACCTGCAGTGAGCAAGGCTGAGGTCTTGCGGGCGCAAGCCAGCGCCCTCCTCTGCATGGCTTCGGAGTTCCCACTACCCACTGCCATGGGCAAGAAGGCCCGGCCCTTTGAGAGGAACAGCTGGGAAGGCTGATCTGCTCTCTGCTCCTGACCTAATATTTATGCAGAAGAAAGGAGGTGCCAAAAATGCCTCTACCCTTCCTTCTTGACAAAGTGACATTGCAAAGCTTGTGTTTTAGAAATGCTACCTTCTGCTGGGTGCTTGTGTAATCTTAGCTACTGAGGAGGCTGAGATCTGAAGAACCCAGTTCAAAGCCAGCCTGGGCAGGAAACTCTGTGAGACTCTATCTCTAATAAACCACCAGAAAACCAGAAGTGGTGCTATAGCTCAAGTGGTAGAGTACTCGCCTTGAGCTGAAGAGCTCAGGGACAGTGTCCAGGCCGAGTTCAAGCCCTACAAACAACCTAAAAGAAATGCTACCTTCTTATAAAATAGAATACATGTATGTACGTGATAAGTAGATATATGTACATTATTGACAATATCCTACACATTTGTTTTTGCAGGCCTGCTTTTTTAAAGGCTGCAGAGAACTTCACACTTTTGGTGAAGAACAACATTTGGTATCCGAAGTTCAACTTTAGCAAGTGAGTGTTCCTTGGCTGTGGTAGTCTGTGTCTTGGAGACGCTTCTGGCTTTCTTCTTTGTGTGTGTGTGGGGGGGGGGCGGGGAAATGTGTGTGTGTTTCAGTACTGGGGCTTGAACTCAGAGACTGGGTGCTGTCCCTAAGCTTTTTTGCTTAAGGCTGGTGCTCTACTACTTAAGCCATAGATTCACTTCTAGTTTTTTGGTGGTTATTGGAGATAAGATCTTGTTTCATGGATTTTTCTGCCTGGTTTGTAACCTCTATCCTCAGATCTCAGCCTAATGGGTAGCTGGGATTACAAGCGTGAGCCACCAGCTCCCAACTCCTTACAGCTCTCCTCTGAGGTTTTCCTCCCTCTGATTTTCTTCTTCCTGGGTTTAGGAGGAATATCCTTCCCAACATCACCACCTCCTACCTCAAATCGTGCATTTATGACGCCCAGACCGATCCCTTCTGCCCCATATTCCGTCTTGGCAAAATAGTGGAGGACGCAGGGCACAGCTTCCAGGACATGGCGGAGGAGGTAGGTACAGGCCTGGCTTTTTTCACACGATTCTGGACACGTCTCAGAGCAGAGCAGGCTCTGACGAAAGCCTGGTGTGGCTGTCTCCACTGCCTCCCGCAGGGCGGGATCATGGGCATCCAGATCAAGTGGAATTGCAACCTGGACAGAGCCGCCTCCCTCTGCCTGCCCAGGTACTCCTTCCGGCGCCTCGACACCCGCGATGTGGAGCACAACGTGTCCCCTGGCTACAATTTCAGGTAGGCATGAACTTAGGCCCTCTTGTAACTAAGTGAGGGAATGACAGAGGCTGGGTAGGGCTCCCAGTCAAGGGGGTGTCCATTACCCCCAAAGGCCAGCACTCATACAGCACTCCCAGGACGGGCCATTGATCCCATGAGGCACAAATTGGTTTCTCAGAATCCACAGTGTGCAGGCGACACAGAATTTAGGTTCATGAAAGGCTGGTGTGCAACCTGGTATGGTGGTACCTGTCTGCAATCCGGGCACTTAGAAGGCTGAGGCCGGAAGATCCTGAGTTCCAGGACAGCCTGGGCTACACAGTGAGACTCTATCTCAAAAACAAAACAGCCTGTGCTCATATTTCCCCACTAGAAACGCAGTACCTCTGCAAAGCTTGGGACCTCAGGATTGTATTCTCTCACCAGGCTGGAAGTCCAAAGTACAAGATTCCGTGGGACAGTGTTCCTCCCAAAAGCTCTAGGGCAGGATCCTTCCTTGACTCTTCCGATTTCTGGCAGCTCCCAGCAATCTCTAACCTCTAGGCCTGTCACTCTGCCAGTGTGGTCACCAGGCCTCCTTCCTTCCTCTCTTCTTAGGATCTCAGTCGTTAGATATAGGGCCTGCCTTAATAGCGCAATGTCCTTAACTAATCGTGTCTGCAAAGACCCTGTTTCCACATGTGTGCGCACACACACATGCTGTTCTGTCCAGTGCAGCTGGGAATCTGATAAGGGCCAGGAGATATGCCCTTTCCTAGGCATCAAAACCCGTAGCTGCAGTGGTAGCTCTGTGGCACATCACTTGCCCTTGATGGCATCTTTCATATCTGCTGGTTAAGTATAGATCCTAGGAGATGCCCGAGGGGGGTCGGCACACTTTTGCCTTGCCCCTGGCTCCCTCTAGTGGCAACATGTGGAACCAAGTGTGTGGTAGAAATCATCCCCGCTTTGCTGATAGTATGGCCGGTATTTGAACGAAGTTCTCCCAGGAGTTAGACTTGCGTTGCTCCATCTTTGCCTTCTCATGGTTCTTGTGGAAACCTCAGGGTCAGGTTGGAACCCTAGAGAAATAGGTGGAGGCCAGAGGAGGATGGCGGGACCATGGCAGGGAAGGTGTAGGCTGCAGGTTCAGGGCTGGGGGAGGGTGGTAGAGGGAGCCAGAGGAAATGAGGCTTTCCTTTGGAGGTGATGAAAATAAGCTAAGGCCCACCAGTTGCGCATGCGTGTAAGCACATCAAAAACAACTGAATTCTACAGTGAGTGAACAAGCCACAAGGGAGTCCATATAGAAGACAAAACAGCAGACAGTGACCATTCAACAGAGGCCTAGGCCGTAGGCGGTGCTGCAAGGCCCTTGGAATGGCTGGGTCTCCCATGTGGAATGCTGTCTCGGTGACTGCTGGCTGGCCACATCCTCCCTGGGTCCCCTAGGGAGAGGCAAGTGGCTCACTCTCAGGAAGGGGATCAGGCATAGGCCATCTTGTAGGAGGAGACAATAGAGAGGGGGTGTCTCTTACCGCTCCAGCCATGGGGTCCTGGTGTCTTCCTGGGGCCCAGCCCACCTCAGCAGAGGGGGAGGCCTGAGGTTCAGGCTCGGGGGCCCCCTGTGAGTGCCGCACTGGCCCAGCTGACAGGACAGGCATCTGCTCCGGCCCAAGCCCCGCCCGCAGACACAGCCCTTCACCCCCAGGTTCGCCAAGTACTACAGGGACCTTGCTGGCAACGAGCAGCGCACGCTCATGAAGGCATACGGCATCCGCTTCGACGTCATTGTGTTTGGCAAGGTAGCCTCGCTGCTCACCCCCATCTGCCTCAGTTTGGGTCCAGCTGGAACAGGGGGTCTCCCCCCCACCCCTATATTTTTGCTGCTCTTCTCTTCCCATCATAAACAGTTCTCCCCTCCTCTCCTCTCCTGTGCAGGCTGGGAAGTTTGACATCATCCCAACCATGATCAACATTGGCTCAGGCCTGGCACTCCTGGGGGTGGTGAGTCCTGGGCCTCCCTTGGGCCAGTGAGACGCGACCCTGGATTGGCACCTGATCCCCCGGGACCCCAGGCTCATTTCCAGACCAGATCACCCCCAGGCTTCTCTGCCTTGACCCCCTTCTCCAAGAGGGAAGATTCGGGGAAGAGGGCATACATAAAAGCACTCTGGGTCGGGCCCTGCTTGTAATCCTGATTACCCAGGAGGCTCTCATCTCCAATGAACCACCAGAAAACTGGAAGTGGCATTGTGGCTCAAGTGGTAGAGTGCTCACCTTGAACTAAAGAGCTGAGGGACGGTGTCTGGGCCCTGAGTTCAAGCCCCACGACTGACCCCCGCCCCCCTCAAAAAAAAAAAAAAAGCTCTCTGGCTCCTGGCTCAGGCTGTGCTGTGCTGTGCTTCCTTCAGGCGACGGTGCTGTGTGACGTCATAGTGCTCTACTGCATGAAGAAGAGGTTCTACTACCGGGAGAAGAAGTACAAGTATGTGGAAGACTACGAGCAGGTAGGCTTGCTGGGCCCTGCAGGCCGGCGGGTGGAGCACCTTGCCCGTCACTCAGCCCAGTGGAGCAGGCCTGCCCCCTCAGGCAAAGCCCTTCTACCAGCGCTGGCATCAGCACCCCGTCCATCACCTGCTCGCCATCTCCCCGGGCCGTTTCACACTGCCTCTGGCATCCGCTTCGCTGCTGGATTTTGTTAGTGAGGCAGTTACGATAGTGGATGTGGTCATCTCTCCATTCACCACTGTTCCGCCCTGTGGGACTCCTATCCCAGGACCAATGCGAATCCTCTCCGGTGGGAAGTCCTGAAGCCCCTCCCTCCCCTCTGTCTGAGGTGTTCCTGGCACGGCTGGGGTGGTGCGTGCCGGCCGTACCCTTACCCGCTTGTTGTCTTCCCAGGGTCTCGCTGGCGAGCTGGAGCAGTGATGCCCAGACCTCCCGCGCTCACCGGGCTCCCTCGGCCCTCTTGCAAGCACAGCAAGAAGGGACAAATGGCCATGCCGCCACCCAGATGACGTTGGAGATTCTGATCAGACTCCACTGCACACTCGAGGCTGTCCAGAACCTCCTGTGGGTTTTTTTGTTGTCGTCACTGTTTTCTGAGTCAGTGTCTCACTGGCTAGAATCCCGCCTCCGCTGCAGGGGGTGCCGTCACACCCGTCTCCTGTGTCTGTGTAGGGCTCACTTGCCCACTCAGTACAGTGATTGCAGTGTCCCGCCGTTCTTCCCACGCAGTGGCGGTGTTCGGTGAGCCGCTGGCCCGCGGATGTTGGCGCTGCCCTGGCCTATGGGCTGACTGGGCCTTCTCAAGAGCCGCCAGAATCAGCATTCCCCCGAGGCTCCGGTCTCCAGCCCCGAGGGCCGCTGCAGCTCCTAGGCATGGCCACCCAGCTGGGACACTGTTGGGGACAGAGGAGGGTCTCCTCACTGTGCTCCCCAGACTTAAGCAGAGCCAGGCCGGGCTGCTGCTCTTCTTCCCTCCAGCCGTGGACTTTGTCCTTGCAATCATGAGGCAGAGTGGGCGGAAGATGAGGACCAAACATTAAAACAGGATTTTCTCAATCCTTGTCTGGCTTTGCCTTTCCTTATGTGATAGTTACCAGCATCAACATAGAGTCACTCAGGCCAAACCCTAACAAAGTGGAGGCCAGAAGCTACAAAGGTAGGGGGTGGTCCTCACCAGTCTGTTGGGTAAGAAGCTTGCTAACACGATGGCCTGTTGCGGGGGGGGGGGCAGGCACACCCAGGAATGGCCAGTCCTCTGCAGCCCCTTCTGCCACCTGCCACCCTGCCTTTGACAAACTCCTGCTTGTGTTTAAACAACCAGCTGACACTTGGATTTTAAAGTATGCCAATCCTTGAACTCAGGGCCTGGGTGCTGCCCCTGAGCTTTTTTTTTTTTTTTCCGGTCATGGGGCTTGAACTCTGGGTCTGAGCACTGTCCCTCAGCTCTTCAGCTCAAGGTGGGCGCTCTACCACTTGAGCTACAGCGCCACTTCCGGTTTTCTAGTGGTTTATTGGAGATAGGAGTCTCACGGTCTTTCCTGCCCGGGCTGGCTTTGAACCACGATTCTCAGATCTCAGCCTCCTGAGTAGCTAGGATTACAGGCATGAGCCACTGGTGCCCGGCTCTGAGCTTTTGTTTCTTTGGTTTAGGCTGGTACTCTACAACATGAGACAATTCACTTCCAGCTTTTTAGACATTAATTGGAGAGAGGAGTTTCATGGACTTCCCTGCCCAGGCTGGCTTTGAACCATGATCCTTGGATCTTACCTCCCAAGTAGCTGGGATTACAGGCGTGAGCCATCAGTGCCCAGCAGTTGGCTTTTTTTTTTTTGTTTTTTGCCTTTCCAAGCTCCTCTTGGCCTCGCATCCCTGGATGTCCCTGTGTGTGGCTCAATCTCTGTCACCCCTGAATTAACCCTTCTCTGGTGTCAGGCTGACACCTTCATGACCCACCCCTGTACCCAGAAATGTCCTGCCCCCCTTTACTTGAACCTTTAAAAGCGTGTGTGTGTGTGTGTGTGTGTGTGTGTGTGTGCCTAAATTCTGGGCCTGGGCGCTGTCCCTTAGCTTTTCAGCTCAAGGCTAGCGCTCTGCCACTTGAGCTACAGCACCACTTCCAGCCTCTAAGTTTTGGTCTGCATGAGGTTTCCTTCCTATGCTGTGTACACGGCCTTCTTTCCCTGTGCTCGTTTTTATACACCACCACGCTGCCGGGCTTGGAGCATGGTCGTGTGGCTACGTGCTCCTCCCCAATCTGCTTCTCAAGCCCCCAACCAGAAGCAGGCCCACCTCTCCCTGTCTTGCCACAGACAGCAGCCGAGCTGTTGCAGCCCCAGCTTCACATGTGAACTTGCAGCTGGTGTTGAGGATGCAGCAAGCAGCGTGTTCCGCCCTTTGCCATCAAGTGCTTCATTTCCAAGTGCTGGCTTCTAGCCGGGTGCCTGTGGCTCACACCAGTAATCCTAACTGCTCGGGTCAGAGATCTGAGGATCATAGTTTGAAGCCAACCCAGGCAGGAAAGTCCTGGGGCTTGACCTTAGGGCCTGGGCACTGTCCCTGAGCTTCTCTGAGATCCAGGCTAGCACTTTGACACGTGAGCTACACCACTTCTGGCTTTTAGAGAAGTTTATTGGAGAAAGAGTCTCATAGACTTTTCTATCCAGGCTGGCTTTATACTGTGATCCTCAGATCTCAGACTCCTGAGCAACTAGGATTACAGGTGTGAGCCATCAACACCCAGCTTCTGTGAAATCATCTCCAATTAATCACAGAAAAAGCTGGAAGTAGCTCAAGTGGTAGAGTGCTAGCCTTGAGCAAAAGCTCAGGGACAGTGCACAGGACTAGAGTGGAAGCCCCAGAACCAAGGAGGGAGGGAAAAAGTGCTGGTTTCTGTTGGGATAAATGGCCAACCGGGCCTTTCCTCATTTTTTGTTTTTGTGGTGGGAGCAGAGAGTTTACCAAATGCTTCAACAAAGCTCAATTGTGTGGCCTTTATTAAAAAAAAGCTCTCGAAGGGGCTGGGAAGGTAGCTCAGCAGTAGAATGCTTGCCTTGCAAGCATGAGGCCCTGGGTTCGATTCCTCAGCACCACATAAGCAAAAAGATAAAAGCCGGAAGTGGCGCTGTGGCTCCAGTGGTACAGTGCTAGCCTTGAGCTGAGGGACAGCGCCCAGGCCTGGAGTTCAGGCCCCATGACCGGAGGGCTCCCCCCCCCCCAAAAAAAAAGCTCTTGAACACACAGGTCACAGGGAGCTGGAGCTCTGAGAAGTGATGTGCGGTGTGCGTGTGTCCCCTCACAAACACCTGCCAGTCTCAGTGGGACAAGGAGGGTGGGGTCTCTGGGAGGCTGAGTCCAAGAATGGGGTCAAGTGCCTTCAAAAGTGAGGTTTGACAGAGCTCCACCCTGTGGCCCATCCACCCTCTGGAGACCTTGGAAGGAGGGAGCAACCCTCTCCAGATGCTAAACTGGACTGCAGGGTACTCTGCTGACCAAGCCCTTGGACAAACGAAACGGCCTGCATGTAGGTACCGACGTGCTGTGTGAGGGGAGCCCTGCTCACCACCTCCACAGCTGTATCTCCCCCTCTGACCTGCAGGTGGCACCTGGGAGCAGCTTTAAATGGGGCCTGGGCTAGTGTGTTCTGCCTGAGTTCTACCTGAGTCCCAGGTACTGCAGACAGCGCTGGTCTGGAGACGCAGTGAGCAGTGACATTCACAGACACACCTTAAATCAGGGATCTGCTGGCTACATTAGCTTGGCCTTGAGCATCTGACCTGCTGTCAGCCTAAGGAAGGAAAACAAACATTTAAGGACAGATGACCTAAACAACACATCACAGACTCCCAGGAGGCCCAGACTGCACCATTTTGCTGTCCATTTATTTCAAGTTTACAGAGAAGCTTAAATCATCTGTGGAAAAACACCAAGGGCTTAAGTTTCTTAACTTGTAAGTGATAAATACACAGTATTTAACTTTGTACACCTGATGAAAGGAAAATGCATAGTAGAAAGGATCAGGAATAAAACAGAAGCATTGGGCACTGGGTAATTAGTTACAGAATAGAAAAGTCACAAGTCCCATGAAGATCAGCCAGTGAAGCTAGAGGAAACACAAGAACCCTCAACACTGCCCTTCCCTAGCACCTTGGACGTGAGTGGCTGCCCCGGCCCCACTGTCAGTGATGGGACGTTCCTCTCTAGAAGAGGGGTGAGAGCCACAGTCCTTACCTAGCTGGCCACCTGTACGGATGTTCCCTTCCTAGTTCCAGAAGGGCTTCGTGGAAGGAATCCTGCCTCATGGGAAGGCCAGACCTGCAGAGATATGGCCTCTGTAGACTTATGCAGGAACAAGGGACTGGAAGCCTTGCGGGGAGCCAGGGCCAGGGCAGCCTGTGGGATAGAAGGAGGATGTGGAAGAGGGCAAAGGAAAGAAAAGCAGGGGAGGATCTGTACTTCCTACAAGGCCACAGATGTGGGCCGAGCTGCTTACACCGCAACGGTCCATGGACAAGCCAGCTGTGCCAAGGCAGCAGGACATCTGTGCACACAGAAAAGCTGCCAAAGCAGCTTCCCCACTTCCTGGCAGACTGGCCTTTGAAGACTCCATGTTTGTGCTCCAAGAAGGGCACCCTAGGGCTCCACTGACTACAGCTGCCCACTTTAGATCTTCCAGGGTGGGGGTTGGGAGGGTAACAGTTCCTGTCCATAGCTTTCTTTGGTGGATTTTTTTTAGTCATGGGGGTTGAACTCGGGGTCTGGGCGCTGTCCCTGAGCTCTCTGGCCCAAGGTTAGTCCTCTACCACTTTCACCCACAGCACCACTTCCAGTTTTCTGATGGTTTACTGAAGAGAAGAGTCTCACCGACTTTCCTACCCAGGCTGGCTTTGAACTTCGAGCCTCAGATCTCAGCTTCCTGAGTAGCTAGGATGACAGGCCTGAGCCACCAGCACCCTGCTATTTTTTTTTTAATGTTATTGATGTGGCCCTTCTCCCACCACCTGCCTGAACATCTGTCTGTTGCCTGGTGGCTGGCATTCCACGTAGGACGTCTTGGATGGAAGGTTCCGTGGTAGGAGAAATGAGAAATGGCATTGCCTGATGCTGTTGTGTAAACACAAGGGGCGCTGCGCCCTTCCTTCCCCAGGCTGGTGTCCACCCAGGCAGACTGGATGGAGACTAAGGACCGGTTGGCTTAAACCACTGCAAGGTGCTATTGCGAACTTACCAGACCCCATCTACTACTGGAGGGTGGAGCTACTGGGTGCTTTCCCCTGAAAGAGGGGGAGGGCAAGAGGAAATACTCGACTATAGACACAAAGCAAGCAGGTGAGGGGACCCCACTGAGACTGGAGTCCTTGCTCTTCAGAACCAGCATGCCCTAATGCTATACTTACACAAGAAAAGTCTGGCTAAACTACAGTCAAGAGCATAAGAAAAACCTATGGAAGCCAAGAATGCCAGCACTCTGTGGCTCTGGGCAGGGGAACCAGCCTCGCTCTCTCTCTGTAGAAAGTCCCAGAACCAAGGCAGAAAACAAGAGAAACGGGGTCTTCCAAGCTCTGTTATCAACACCCCATTTCCCTGCAATGCACTGGGGAGCCCTTCCAGCTTCCCTCCCCTTGAACCTCACGCACACCTACCCCTGGATGGCAGCAACAGTCACATCCAAACCCCAGCCAAACTTCCCAAGATTGGTTGGAAGGAAAAAAAAAAAATCACCTTTTTTGCTCTGGGCTACTGGTTACCAAAGGTAACTTCCTGTGCCAAGCCCTGGGTCCCTTGGACCCGGAGTCTCAACAATGTTCCGAAAGGGTGTCCCATATCACTGTGTGTACCCTCACATTGTGCTGCCAAGGATGGCCAGAGTCTCGGCTTCCCCACGTGGCCCTGGAAGCTGCGGTGGGGTTTACACAAGCAGCTAGGATGGAAAGGCAAGCTCAGAGGCATGGCAGTGGAGCTGCTGATACGCAGGCACACGTGTCACCAGGCTGGAGCCGTGACACAAGACCTGGAAGCTCCAAGTAACTTCTCTAGAGTTCAGTCTAGACAACTGAATCTTCTAGAACTTCTCTAGAGTTGTCTAGAGAACTGGAATTCATTTGTATGTTGAATCGTAAGCCATGTAATGTACATGGAAGTATAGGATTTCACCCTGAAGTTTTTATCATTTAACAATGAGCTTCACTAGTGCCTGGCCAGCCACCACCAGAGACCCACTGTGCGTCAGCAGGAGCCCTACCACGCCTGGCGAACCCCTGCTAGGCTGGAAAATCCATTTTAGGAAGCAATGCGACTTGCAGCCCTTCCGATTATCCTGACATCAAAGCATTCATAAGTCCTTCTGGCGCATGAATTGTGTGGCAGCTCCCTGCAGCTCTGAGTGCCAGCCCTGCTCTCCAGGCACTGTTCTGGAAGATTCCACGGCTTGGGGTTTTCACAGGAGTGACCTGAACCTTCCACTCCCTCTGGAAACAGCCACATCGTGCGTGCCTGCTTCCCGACAGTCCACGCCTGTGCACGCTCACTCAGAACATCTCACAGGGCTCTGAATTCCCAATGAAGGTTGTTTCTTTGTTGTTGTTGTTGTTTTTGGCATAAAAACATTTTAAAAAGCAACTGTCCCAAAATGCACATGGATTTGGGTCTGCAACTCATAGCCGTGGGTCCAGCCAGCCAGCGGCCACAACATCACAGGGTCTTTTTTTTTTTTTTTGTCCCCTTTAAAATAACAAGGAAGAAAACAAGTAACCAGAGATGACGGTCAAGGCTCTACACGTGCGGGTTTCCATAGGACATGCGGCTATGGAAACGCGGTGCAGCCGCCCGCGCGGGGCAGCACAGCCAGGCATGCGAGGTCCAGCGGTCCAGACGCTACTCCGGCTCCATCACCTCTTCAGGCTGCTGTGGAGGCTTATGCGTGGGGGAGCCAGGGGCCAGGACCCCCCAACTTTGCACGCAGGGACCACCTTTCACAAGATCACTTCCTCCTCCCCTGCGGGGGCCAGCTCTTCGCTGCCTTGCTTCCTGCTCACCAAACAGAAAACCAGCGTTAATACCTGCTCACGGAAGACAACAGCAGGGCCCTGACCGGCTCCCGCCTTGGGTGCCGTCCGCTCAGGAGTGCCATCTTATGCCACCAGGGACATTATGAGGTACTTCCTCCTTTTGTTCTTGCTCACATACAGTTTTTCAAAAGCCTCTGCACTCCCTCCACAAACAAGGGAGCCATGATTTGTCCCAAATAGCAAGGAATATTTATAAAGCAGATGCAAAGCTATGTGACAATCATGGCATGGGTCACAAGTAGAACGCGGGTCCTACCACAGTGTGTTCTCGCCCATTTAGGAAGGAAGTTCCTCCAGGGCTGGAACTGTGACTGTGCTCCTGGGGCAGTGGCCTGTGCTGCTGAGAAAGGCCTGTGCCAGCCACTCTAGCCCCCACCAGCCAGGCCACAGGAAACCCCCTCCCTTCTCAGAAGAGCCCCATGTCCCAGAAGAGTGGCTGGATGTGTCAGCTATGCTGGAGATCTCTAAGGAGGGGCCTGAGCCCTCTGTCTTACAAGGGAGGTCACTGGGCTCACCTTTTGGGGCTACTGTCCATCCTTCTCCACAAGGCTCTGTGTGCCCTGGGCAGATAGATACCTGTGTCCCTATACAGGAAAGGGAAATAATGTCTGTGCCTCCCAGGAAGAAAACACCTCTTTGAAAATGACATCCATTCCAGGTACTAGTGGCTCACACCTGTAATTCTAGCTACTCAGAAGGCTGAGATCTGTGGATCACGGTTCAAAGCCAGCCCGGGCAGGAAACTCCATGAGACTCTTATCTCCACTAAACCACTAGAAAACCGGAAGTGGCACTGTAGCTCAAGAGGTAGAGTGCTTGCCTTGAGCTGAAGAGCTGAGGGAAAGTGCCCAGGCCCAGAGTTCAAGCTCCATGACTGACAAAAAAAGGAAAAAAAGAAAAAAAGAAAATCACATCCACAATTAGGGGGTGAAGGCCCCTGGGCAGTAGAGAGCTGTGACTAGCTGTCAGACTAGAGCCTCTGCTCCTGCTCTTGCTGTGGCATGGGCTGGGTCTCAGTGGAAAGAGCAGCGGCCTTTGGTGCAGGACCCCATGGCCCATGATAAGCATGGCACCCGCAACAGGCATCACTGGGGCCACAGGTGAGGGAATGACCGGGCATTGCCACCCTTCAGGCCAATCTCTGATGGCATCTGACAATGCTGATCACATTGAAAATAAAAACAAAGAACAGACTTTCTCAGAGAAGAGAGGCAAAGCCTAACATGGAGGTTAAGAAGAGAAGGGCTGAAGAAAGGCTTCTCGTGGGAAGGAAGGTGTTGAAGACTGGCCTGACCGCTGGTGCTGACACAGCCTCTGGCCTGCTCGGCCTCTCAAAATCAAAGTGCTCTCCTAGATCACTGTACAAGCTCCTGGCCGCTAGGGTACCAGTGGCCAATACATTTCCTCTCAGAAGCTAACTCCTAACAAAGAGAAGGGCTTCCCCCGCACACACATGTCCACAGCGTCAGCATCTATGATAGCCAAGGAGACAGAACATCCATCAGCGGATGCATGGATAAACAAAGGGGGTTGTACCTAGATATTGCTCAGTCACAACAGAGGACAGAGCCATGACCTGAGCTATGACCCAGATGAGCCTCAAAACCACAGTGCCAATCAAAGATGCCAGATAGGAGAGGCCACACACCAAATGAGTCCAGTGACAGCCAATGTCCAGAATAGACAAATCCTCAGAAAATGGGTGTTTGGGTAGGGATGCAGGGGCCCTCTGGAGCTAAGGAAAGCATCCTAAAGTTACTGTGCAGCCGGCCACATAGCTCTGGGATGGTATTAACTGTACACTTTAAGTGAGCGAGCAGTAAGATATGTGAATTACACCTCAATAAAGCTAATCTGAGTGTGTCTGTGTTTCTGAGGATCAAACCCATGACCTCATACATCCTGGGCAAATGTCCTTGCACAGAGCTACAGGCCAGGCCTCATAAAGCTATCTTTAAATATAGGAATGGCTGCCTGGAGTTCCCAGTGGGAGACAGCCCGCCACAGCAGGACTTCAGGTCTTCGCCCTGCAGCAGGCATTTTGGGAACGAGTCCAGCCAGGTCCTTCTAGTCTTACAATGACACCTTTTCTCTTCTGTCCTGGGAGGTGCAGGTAATGCTGGTCTGGATGTCCCGGCCAGAAGAGAAAGTTCTGGTCCTACTGAGTCCTAGGACTCACATCACTGTGCAGCAGCAGAAGGGGACTTCTTTTCTAGTTCTCAACCCAGCATAGAAGAAAGGGCAGGTGTTGGGTACCCCTGGTGAAGAGCCAGAGTGCACCAGGCCTGATCTGTGCTCAGAGCACACACACACACGCGCGCGCACACAGTAAGGCAGCCCTGGGGCCCGAGGCAGCCTCAATGTTGTTGCCGTGCACTGAGTATGTGGGTGCCCACCTGGGCCTGAAGACCTGGGTGAGTTCACAGGCATTCCGGGTGGAGCGCCATGCACCGCAGCCCAGCCCACATGCAAGACCCACCGTCGGGCCCAAGCCCCCGAGTCTGAAGGCTCACAGGGAGCCGGGCACCGCAGCTGGGCTGAGGCGCCCCTCACTCTGCAGCTGCCCCGCCCCCAGGCCCCGGCAGAGGCTACGGCACAGGCAGGCAGGCGTTACCTTGGGCTCAGACAGGGGCTCCCACTCCCTGGTTGGCTTTTTGCTGGAATTGCCAGAGGGAGGGAAAAGGGAAGTGAGAGAGGCTTCCCAGGACCATGGGCGGCTGTCCCCTGCCCAACAGCTGCTTTCACACGGCTTTCCTTGCAGGTGGGCAGGCTCCTCTCTGCACTAACATATAGGGTCCCACAGCAAAAAACACTTGGTGTTTCTGGGTAACGAATGAGCTGCTGGCCAAGAGACCTCCCATGGAAGCCGGAAGCCCCTGGGAAAGGGGACACCTCCTCATGGACGAGTGGACAGCACACGATGCTGGCCGCGCCAGGCTCAGTACCCAACGCTGACATCTCCACCTTGCTGCTGGGGGTCTCTCCCTGGTGCCCCACCGCCATGTGGCGGTCCTCGGCCCTCCTGCCCTGCCCTGGGAGGAAGGCAGTGGACACTCACGTGAGCAGAGTCCCAGGCACAGACGAGGCTCTCTCCTCCCGCCGACTGCCCTCAAACGGGTTCCCGAAGGAGCGCTTCCGGATCATGGTCTTCACCAGGATCTACGAGGAAGAGGAGCACAGTCTGTGCACAATGACACGCCAGCCACACCATCTCCAGTCCCTGTCAGCATCCCAGGCTCATGGCTGGGGCAGCCTTGCTCCCCGGGGAGAGGGGGGAGGGCATCCCTTCTCAGCCGTCCACTCCCTACTCCCTAGCTGCTAAGTCCACACTCTGGGTCTGCAAAGACCCAGTCTCAGCCTAGCTGACCTTTTAGGGCCCTGGCTGTGCAGCCACTGGCCACACCTGACACATTTGTCTCACAGAGCCGTTTCTGGAAGGAGCTCTGGGCCAGCAGCCTATATGTATTCAAGGCCAAGCCCTGCCTGTCAGTGAAACTTGTCCGTATTTCACCCCAAGGAAAACATACTATAGCAGCTCAGACATCACCTGGGGTGTTGTTATTGTTGTTTTTGTCAGTCATAGTGCTTGAACTCTGGGCCTGGGCGCTGTCCCTCAGCTCTTCAGCTCAAGGGCGAGCGCTCTACCGCTCGAGCCACAGCACCACTTCCAGTTTTCTGGCAGTTAATTAGAGATAAGAGTCTCATGGCTTTTCCTGCCCGGGCTGGCTTTGAACTGTGATCCTAAGATCTCAGCCTCCTAAGTAGCTAGGATTACGGGTGTGAGCCACTGGTGCCTAGCTCAAGACTGCTCTTTCAGTAAGTGAGAAATAACCAAATTCCAATTCACCATTTCAAAGCATAGAGATCCCTCGGGACTTGGGAGAACCTGTGGATCCTCAAGTCCCCAGACATAAAGGAGCACTGAATTTATAAGGAGCCTTCACACATCCTCCTGCTTACGTTATTTATTATTACGTTTTGTGGTGCTAGGGGTAGAACCCAGTGCCTCCCCCATGCTCGTAGGGCTCCAACCCCTTTCATTAGTATGTGAACCGTGGAGCTCAGGTGACCAAATGAAGCAGCGCTGAGTGAAACCTCAGTGGTGTTGAGAACAGCGTGCAGAAGTCACCTCATAGTTGTGACATGTTTGTGTCATTCGGAAACCTCCCCTTGAAAGCAGCCACCCCCTGCTCCTCTCCCTCTGGTCCCTGTCCCTGGTGATCAATTGGAAGAAAGGGAAACCATGAAGAACAGTCTGCAGCCCAGTGAGGCTGAGGGTCCCAGCCCAGCTCTCTGACAAGGCCTCTGGGCTGTGGCAGGCGCCTGGCCTCAGCAAGGCTGCCCGTTCCTGTCTGTGAGCTCCCCGAGCACCTCCATCGCTGGCCTCTCAGCCTGCAGGAGGCTCACTCTTTCGGCACTCATCTCTCAGAAGCTGGAGGTCCCCTGACAGCGGACACTGGTCCTTGCTCATCTTTTCATCTCAAGCCTGGCCTATCACGGGTGCCCAGCAAATGCTTGCTGAATGACAAATACACCAAGGGGGCTGGACTCCCCAATTCCCAATGTGGACCACTTCTCAACACCTGCCTCCTCCTCCCCCATTCCACCCAATGAGTAGCTGGATCCAGACCCTGAAAGAACTCCTCAAATGCTTAGGACTGAGCTCCACTTCCTTGAGGATTTAGCAATCCAGGTTTTTCTGGAAGCTTCTTGCTGGCCCAACTCTCTCCCACTGGAGGACAATGCCTACGCTGTTCCTCCTGCTAGGCTTTCTACCCCCACCCCATCTATGCCATTCTTTTTGCACACATCTACTTCTTCCAGGATGCTACTCCCAATGCAACCAGGCGGAGGCTGTCCATCCGGGCGCCTGGCAGTCCCTCTACTGCACCGTGCGTGCCGGGGCATGGCCAGCACCGGCCTCCCCTACTGCACTGTGAGTGCCATGGCCATCATCTGCCTCCCCAGGTTGCCAGGGCCGCTGGTTTCACTCATCACTGTACTCTGCCTAGGAAACTACTCAGAAGTAGTTCACAAAGTGTTTTCCAGACCTCAGGGTCAGGTGCTTTTTCCCAAGGGTTGGCAGGAGGGCAGGGCACTACGTCAGGTTCAGAGCCCAGAACAGAATAACTTAGAGTGGACACAGGGTCCAAAGGCAGCTGCTCCCCTGCCCCTGGTGCCAGTCGAATGTGGTGGGAGGAAGGGAGGATGAGGACAGTGAGTGGGTGTAGGTGAGGCTCATGCAGGGGCCCCAGACGAGGGAGGGAGAGACATGGATGGGTGCCTGGCCCTGGGTGTCAGGCTTAGGGAGGAAGAGAGGCAGAGTGTAGAAGCAGAAGGGAGCGGTGCAAAGCTGGAGCATCAGGAGGAAGCCTGTGAGCGTCAGAAGGGCTAGTCCCGCGGGTCTGGACGCTGCCTTTGCCCTCCCGACCCCAAGCCCACCTGCCAGCCGGGGCTGGTGCTGGACAAACACAGCCAGGGCTTTCAGTGGCTGTGGAGGGCAACTGGCTCAGCTCCACTCCTGGCTCTGTGCCCGGGGCGAGGACCCCTGGGGCTCTTATTTTTCTTCTGAAGACAGATGCCCTCCCAGCAGGGGCTTGGCAGCAGAGTGATTCTCCAGTCTCCAAGGCTGGGCTTGGGGAGTCTACATTCTGGGTCCTTCCACCTGGTTCAGGACCCAAAGTCAAGGCCATAAAGGGGGTCCAGTGGCTCCCACGCAAGACTCATTGCAGGGCATGTGAAGCGGGAGCTCCTGGTCCTGCAGGCAGGCAGGCCTGCCGTGCCCCAGCTAGCCACGACAGAGCCTGACAGCCCAGCCACACAGACCCCAATCCCTGACTCCTGCCTGGTCCTCCTCCTGGATTCTCTCCTGACATGCTCTGAAAGCAGGAATTCCAGAAGGAACAGTACGCTCCTTGCGGGGAAGGGGGGCTCATCTTTATGGAATCATGAGAGCCATAGGGGGGCTGCCTGGCCTGTGTGTGACCAAGGCCCTGAGGCCAGTGGCTATGGGGTCAGGGGAAGCCCCAGCTGTCGCCTTGAACTTAGGCCCCGCGTGTGCTCCGCAGGTATCGCTCTTTCCAGCCCTGTTCTCGACAGCCCTGCTTTAGACGCTCCGGTCTCTGTTCTCAGTCTGGTTCGTCCCGTCTTACCACGGTCGCCAGGCTGGGAATGTGTTTGACTGAATTCTCCACCTCCTCTTCTGTCACCTCCACCAGCGTGCAGTTCTCGTCCTCCGATGGCAGTGGCTCGGCCCCGTGCCTCGTGACCCAAGGGTGCAGCTTCAACGAACGACAGGAGGGTGAGGGCAGCTGCTGGCTGGCAAGGGGCCCTGCCAGCAAGTAGAGCTGAGAAGGGCATGCAGGAGGGAGAGGCCAGGGCCTGGCCAGCATGCAGGAGAGCTAGTGAGCCAGGCAGAAGGCAGGTGAGTGGAATGAAGGAAAGACGGAAAACCAAGAGACAAAGAATGGCAGGAGCCATGGGCTGAGATGTCCGCAGAGCTGGTATTGGCAGGAAAATAGAACTGGGCATCGACCTTGACTGACCAGCTGCCCCAGGCACCCCCATCACTCCACAGCCCCAAGCAGGCCGCACACTCCTCATGTCACACACAGTAAATGGTGGCTCAGGAAGACCCAGCCGGACCAGCTGGGAGGAGAAGACCAGGAAAGGACCCAGGCCAGCGACGCCTCCACTCCTCTCCCTGGGGTGCAAAGTCCTTATTTGTGACCTTTCGGTCAGCCAAGATGCCCTTCAGTGCGTGCTGGCTACCCAAGTGGCTAAGAGGCCCTGGGGCAATACTGAGACATCTTAAAAGGCCAGTGTGTACACATGGCATTGGCAGAGATGTGGGAAGTCCCTTCAAAGACTGCATTCTGCTGGATGAATTGCTCACTGACTTCCTTCTATTCTCACTGTACTTTCTCAAAGGGACTGGCCATCTCTGACAAGTAGGGTCCTGGAAAGGATCCAGAGGTTTGGCTGCCAGGGCAGGGAGGCCTGGTCAGCCTGTGGAGGGTGGACACCACCAGCCCCAGCACAAGCTGGTTGGTCAGCAATGCCGCCTCCCCAGTCACAGTGGATGCAAGCCCAACCCTCATCACACCCCAATGGCCCAGTGCCTCCAAGGCGTGGGAAGACAGCGGTGCTGATGAGGCCATGGCACGGTAGACAAGGGAGCAGGGCCTGGCCGAGGCAGGGTTAAGCCAAATGATTTCAAGCACAGGACACAGGCCAAGCCTCAGGCGTTGGCCTCTAGGGCCAGTGGTGGTCCCAAGATACCTTGATTTCCGGCACCATAATCCTAGACTCGGGGTTCTTGTCCAACATACGGGTGATCAGATCCTTCAAGTCCTCAGCTATGTCAGGCCTAAAGGGGAAGATACATCAGGATGGGTGCCAAGGACCCAGAGGGAGATAAGGGGGCAGACAGGCAGTACTCACTGGTCTGGAAATTCCAGGGCCTGACTCTTGATCTTACTGTGCAAACACATGATCCGCTCATCCATGAATGGGCACTGTTAAGAGGCCAGGGACAGAGTGGGATCACTGGCTGCCACGTCTTCAGAGTGAAGACATCACTTCCCAGGGTTAACAGGAGAGAAGTCAACAGCTCTGGCCCCATCTGGGGAGGGAGCAGGCCCCAGCCCTCCTGAGTTCTAGAGGGACCAGGGATGTCCTAGCAGCTGTAGGGCAGTCTACTGTGCTTCAGCATCCTACCAAGACTAAAGCAAGGACTCTTCCTCCCTGCCTGCCAGAAGAGGGGCCAAAACAGCCACAATACTTCTGAAGGCTCTGGAGTAGCAGTTGTGATTATGAGAGCTTAGCCCATGCCTCATAACCAAGACTTAATCCACTGTGACCTCCTGTTTTCTCCCATCATGCACCTGTCCAATCAAAGCTCACCTCATAGGAACTTTCCCTACACTCACTCCATCTAAGTAGTGTCACCCTGTCCCTGCCTGACCACAGCACCTCCCGTTACAGCCCTTGTCCCTGACACCATGATCCTCCACTGGGAGGTTCCAGGAGGGCAGAGCTTTGCAGCTGCCTTGCCCGTGCTCGGTGCTCCCTCTCTTAAATAGGACCTCCTTAGCCCGGCCAACCTCAACTCATGATCCTTCTAGTTGATTAGACCATTTTCTTCACAATCTATAATAAAAACGCTATCATACACGAGTACATACATTTTATCCCTTTTCATTGTCATCTAACTGTCAAGTGGACAATAGTGTCTCCCTGTATTAATTCAGCAGCACTTAGACTGAAAACTCTCTTACCTGGCCAAAGACGAAGCAGTACAGTGTCACACCCATGGCCCAAACATCCAAGGCCTGCAAGAAAAAGACTGCTTAGTAGGAGGGGCCGAGGCAGGGAGGGCCAACTACTGCTTTTCCCAATCTTCCAGCTTTTCTTGAGGAAATTCATGCAGCCTCTAGCCTGCTGGGTGGGCGCATGACTCAAGCCTGGCCAAGAGAGCACAACCCCCCTCAACCATGGTGACTTGTGTAGGCATGGGCACAAGACCCACTCTGAGCCAATCAGAGCTAGTCCCATGATTTCTGCTGTTGATACTGAGGGTGGTCATCAGATGGAAAGTAGCCTGGAGTTGAAGGTGCCTGACCTACCTGCAGGGAAAACCAATGAAGGCAAACAGAGCTGAAAGATGGCGAATGACCCATTGGTATGATCCACTGGCTATGTCTGAAACTAAATGTACCCAGCCTTCGGTCATCTCAGTATAAGCCAAGCCCATTTGTCCCAGACTTCTGCCACTACAACCCAAGGACCCTAACCCATGCAGAACCCAGCAGCTTGGGCTGTCGAAACCTACCTTCCCAGAGAAGATCTTGCGGGTTTCTGAGAGCGACTCGGGCGCCATGAAGGCAGGTGTGCCCACAGTGTTGGAGAGGAGGGCATCACTGCCCTTGAACTCATTGCTCACACCAAAATCAGCAATCTTGATGTGCCCATCTTCTCCTACCAGGAGGTTGGAAGGTTTGATGTCCCGGTGGATGATCTTCTGGTAGTGTACTGGACATGGGGTGGACGCCCAGGGAGAGAGCCGGCAGGAGAACCCAGTGAGGATGTCCAAGGGACCACACAGCACACAGACACAAGCAGAGCACCCCACACGTCTCATCCCCCACAGCCCCTTTCCCAGCTTCCCCTGCCCCAAACCTGGGCACTCAAATCCTCTGCAAAATAAGGGAAGAAGAGAGACTTCCAAGGCAGTTTACCCCATTTTCTAGACACAAACCACCTATAACAACCTGTAACCACCTACTACATCTAAGTCCCATGTAGAGTACAACTCCTAAGAGCCTGAGGCTCATCAAACAACTTCATCATCAAACCAACCATGGTCTGAGCAGGTCAATTTGAAGTATGAGTCACAAAAGCAGTTTTAGGGCTGTGTCTCACTGTTTTTGCCTGGTTGTTATCCAATAGCAACAGATAATGATATGGTATAGGGTGGGCAGATTCCATTTTTATGATAGCAGTAATGAAGATCACCATGGTCACAAGGTCAACTGGCCTTTGTTGACCACCAGGGCAGACCTTCAAAAGTGTTAAGTGTTTCACATTTTACGCTACATTGCAAAATGCTTACCCCTAGAGCAGAGCAGAGCCCGGCCAGTAAGAACCACGGATGTGTACTGGCAAGTACACCGAGCTCTCAACAGTGCCTGGCTTACATAGAAAGTTCTGGAGAAGCTGGGCGCTGGTGGCTCATGCCTGTAATCCTAGCTACTCAGGAGGCTGAGATCTGAGGATCGCAGTTCAAAGCCAGCCCGGGCAGGAGAGACCGTGAGACTCCTATCTCCAATAAACCACCAGAAAACCGGAAGTGGCACTGTAGCTCAAGTGGTAGAGCGCTTGCCTTGAGCTGAAGAGCTGAGGGACAGCGCCCAGGCCCAGAGTTCAGGCCCCATGACCGACCAAAAAAAAAAAGAAAGTTCTGGAGAAATTCACTCTTGCTATTAATCATTTGTCTCTGCAGCAGGAGGAAGGGCTGTGCACCCCACAGGCTCAGCTTAGGATGGCTCTGCCACCCACCTCCATGTGCTCAAGGAGGAAAATAAGAGGTTTTCCACTTTCTGGCTTGACTGCTAACTACTCCCTGGGCAAGCGACCTCCCACAGGGCACTTACAGTACTCGATGCCTTTGATCAGATCCTGGAAGTAGAAACGGGCCTGGTCTTCAGAGAGCGGTTTGAGGGTAGGCACTTCCATCACAGGCCTGAGAGGCAGACACACAGTGAATGCAAACCAGACCACCCAGCCCCGCTCTCCCCCCAGGCAGCCCGGCACAGCCTCACTCTACTCTTCTGCTCCAGAAACTTCTGGCGTCACAGAGCTAGGGCACTCACCCCTGGTTGACGAGCTCGAACACTGTCGGGAAGAAAAGGGGTACTGTTACACTGGAACCTGGGAGCCCATCCCTCACCCCATCCTCCTTGCCTTGGAGGACACTAAGCACAAAAACTCTGCTGGGGGCAAGGGAGAGGAAATGTCCCCGGAGCCAAAGCTGCCCAAGGTTTTTCTGAGATCCTATCGGGAAGGGAAGGACTAGGGATTTCTAGGCCCCAGGACCCTAATCTGCCTTTTATTTCTAGTGCTCAAAATGGCTGAGGACCTATAGGGAAAGAGGAAAGGGGGGAAGGGCAGCAGGGGTGGTTCCTGGGCTCCCCTCATCCCTCTGCTCGCTTGGAGGTTCTAGGTTGTAATGGGTGCTAAACTATGTCCTTTGGTCCCATGAGCCTGAGTGAGGGCGGATCTGCTGTTGCTTCAGGATAACGTTAGAAGCTTTGGCCCTGTGGGCCTGGTTACTTGAGTCTTAAAGAAGCAAGCTTCAGGAATCTCTGCCCCTTCTCCCTACCCACCCAGGCACCACAAATCAACAGGGATGAGCCGACTGAAACAGCTCTATTTTTAGTCACTAACAGATCAGCTACTCTTGGGGTTCGTCATGTGTTGGAAAGTGGGGGGGAGGATCTCTCTAATTCTAGAAATACAGATCCAAGTTTGAGGATCAGGCCTGTTGTTCAAGGCCTTTCTTTCTACTATGTGGACTGTTTATCATCATTTGTTTTATACCCAGGCCTGGGTTGCAAAGTAAAAAAGTAACTGTAGAGATTTCATCCAAATGTGGAAAAGTGAGGTTTTAACATGATCGTGGGACTGGGATGATGCAGGTGAATAACCCTTACTGAGATGTACACTAAAGTATTTAGGCTAAGTGTCAAGATGTCTGCTGTTTTATTTTCAACAGGCTCAGCCCCCCCCCCCCCCGTCTCTCTTACCCATGTACAGATGGTCCTCATTGGGGTCATCTAGGACCTGTTGACACAGGCATCCAGGGACAGGCCAGGACAAGGAGCAAGGAGAGGAGAAAATGAACACGTGAACAGAGGCAGCAGAAGCACATGGCTGCATTTGTCTCAAGAGGGCACACTTCTGCCAGGCGCTGGTGGCTCACGCCTGTAATCCTAGCTACTCAGGAGGCTGAGATCTGAGGATCACATTTCAAAGCCAGAAAAGTCCGTGAGACTCTTATCTCTAATAAACCACTAGAAAACTGGAAGTGGCGCTGTGGCTCAAGCGGTAAAGTGCTTGCCTTGAGCTGAAGAGCTGAGGGACAGCACTCAGGCCCAGAGTTCAAGCCCCACGACAGACAGAAAAAAAAAAATAGGGCGCACTTCTACATTTCTAGACAAGTGGGAGAGCACTCAAGTCTTCCTAAATGAGACCCAAATAGCCTTTACGCAAGTAAGCAGCTCCCAGACCAATCCTCAAGGGTCCCAGACATCCAGAAAGGAGGTAACAGTAGAGAGGGGCAAGCCCTCCTCTGGGGAATATCTCAAGCAGGGACAGGACTGCAACTTGTCTCCCAGTAGACACAGACTAGAATTCACAGAATTACACTACATGGGCTCAAGTGGTCTTTCCATAAAGCAGCCCCATTCCTCCCCACCTGCTTGGAACTGACTCCCTTGGGAGGGCCAGCACTAGGCCGTGTCAACCTCAACCGACTCACTGGTATCAAACATGTAAAATTATGCCACTCTTGCTCATACAAATATATTTCTTTTGTTTGCATCTATCAAGATTATGTTGTTTTATCTTTTGTTTGCATCTATCAAGATTATGTTGTTTTATCTTTTGTTTGCATCTATCAAGATTATGTTGTTTTAAAATCAATTAATAAATCACTGAAGGCCTGATCCCCAAGTGTTGCTGGGAGTCGGTGGAAACTAGGAGTGGGGCCTACCTGGAAGTAGGTCACTGCATTTGAAGGGTATCTTGTCCCAGGTTTCTGGGCTCCCTCCCTGCTTCCTGGCCCTCATGAGATGGCAGACTCCATCACATACTCCTGTAGGCCATGATGTGTCTGCCTAACCCCAGGCTCAAAGCAGTGGACTAAAACCATGAGTTAAAAATAAACTTTTCCTTGCTGGGTGCCTGTCATCCTAGCTACTCAGGAGGCTGAGATCTGAGGATCACGGTTCAAAGCCAGCCAGTGCAGGAAAACTCCATGAGACTCTAATCTCCAATAAACCACTAGAAAAACCAGAAGTGGTGCTGTGGCTCAAGTGGTAGGGCGCTAGCCTTGAGCTGAATTGCTGAGGGACAGCATCCAGGCCCAGAGTTCAAGCCCCACAACCAACCAAAAAATAAAATTAATAAATTTTTCTGCATTTTTCTGTTTGATATTTGTCACAGTGATAAAAGCAAACACAAAGTCATCAATAATTTTTAAGAGTGGGGCGCCTGTGGCTCACACCTGTAATCCCAGCTACTCAGGAGGTTGAGATCTGAGAATTGCAGTTCAAAGCCAACCTGGGCAGGAGATCTTTGAGACTCTTATATCTCATTAATCACCAAAAAGGTGGAATTACTGCTTGGGCTCAAAATGGTAGAGCACCAGGCTTGAGCAAAAGAGCTCAGAAACATTACCTAGGCCCTGAGTTCAAGTTCCATGACTGACACAAACAAACAAATAAAGGGGTCTTGAGACAAAGTGTGAGAACAGCTGACCTACAACAGGCCTTGGTTAGTTATAAGCCTGTGGGTCCAATCCTCTTGGTTTTATAAATAAAGTTTTATTGGAACACAGTGGTGCCCACTAACGTGTATGGCACCTTTTGGACACCAACTACCCAGAGGCTAGCTCCAGAGAGAAATGGATGAAAAGCAGTAGAGCTCAGCCCCAATTCATGGATCTGCAAGATGGGAGTAGTAAGCAGTGTTGAGGAGGGTGAGAGTTAACAGGAAGTAACAGTGGCACAGAGGGGAAGGAGGCTGGGATAAGAGCATGGGCCCACAGCCAACTGTCCGCCATGCCATGGCTCTCTCTGGAAACTAGTGATGAACCTCCAGTACAAACAATCCTAGGGCTGGACCATCACCCTCCTCTTTCTCCTTTCCCTTCTCTCCTCCCTCCCTCCCTCCTTTACATTTTTCTCTCTCCCTCTATCTCTGCACACACACCCCAGCTCACCTCCACCAACTTCACCACATTAGGGTGGTCCAACTTCTTGAGGATGGCAATTTCCTGGTACACTTGCTCAATGGGACCCCGGGGCTGAACACAGCCCCCAGGAGCTGGGCGGGTACCGCGAGGTGGGGGGCGACCTGGAGGAGATACAAAGGGACCCAGGGTAAGAATGAAAGGATTTTCCTTTGTCTGGTAAGATGAATGAAAGGGGAAAATTTGGCAGGGGGCTCAGTTTCCCCATTTTATCACTAAGATGGGAGCTGAGTGGCTGATGACAGCAGGGACTTTATTTTTTTATTTTTTGCCAGTCGTGGGGCCTGAACTCTGGGTCTGGGCATTGTCCCTCAGCTCTTCAGCTCGAGGCTAGCGCCCTACCACTTGAGCCACAATGCCACTTCCAGCCTTCTGCTTATGTGGTGCTGAGGAATTGAACCCAGGGCCTCATGCATGCAAGGCAAGCCCTCTACCACTGAGCCACCTTCCCAGCCCAGGGACTTTATTTATTTATTTTTGTCGGTCGTGGGGCTTGAACTCTGGGCCTGGGCGCTGTCCCTCAGCTCTTCAGCTCAAGGCGAGCGCTCTACCACTTGAGCTACAGCGCCACTTCCGGTTTTCTGGTGGTTTATTGGAGATAGGAGTCTCATGGTCTTTCCTGCCCGGGCTGGCTTTGAACCGCGATCCTCAGATCTCAGCCTCCTGAGTAGCTAGGATTACAGGCGTGAGCCACCAGCGCCTGGCTAGGGACTTTATTTTTGAGGCTAGATTTGTTGCAAAAGAGGATTTCACTTAGCATGTCCATTTGTGTATACAATGCACTCAATCTTCACCAGTCATCCCTCCACCATTCTCCCTCCTCCCCTCTCCTAACCAGTCTTGGTAAGTTTCCTTGCTCAATTTTCACAAGTGTACGTAAAAGATTCTGATTATATTCACCCTCCTGTCCATCATCTGCCCCTCCCACTAGAACCTACACCCCAGACATGTTTCAACTCCTAATATTTTTTTTCCCTGTCAGCTGTGGAGCTTGAACTCAGGGCGTGGTCCCTATCCCTGAGCTTTCTTGCTCAAGGCTAGCGCTCTACCACCGCGAACCACAGCAAAACTTCTGATTTTCTGGTGGTTAATTAGATATGGACTTTCCTGCTCAGAGAGGCTTTGAACCACGAACCTCAGATCTCAGCCTCCTGAGTAGCTAGGATTATAGGCCTGAGCTACTGACATCTGGGTTAATATTCATTTTTTGTTAAAGTGCATGTTAACTGTCCAAAGGTGTTGTATTTATGGTCAGAAATATTCCACTGGGTACACACAGATCACGGCATTGTTCATGTCAGCGGGCATGTCGGCGTTTCCATGTGCTGGTTACTGAGCAACGCCACGGTAGACATTCGTGCCAGCTTTTCTGTGGATGTGCATTTTCAGTTCTCTCAAGGATGTGCCTAGCAGAGGAACTGCGGCATGTGGTGACACCACGCGCAGCCCTTTTTGAGGGACTGCGTTGTTAGCTGTTTGATTTTTTGACCTGATACCTGTATTCCTATATTGCTTTAATAAATATTCCTCAACTAAAGTGAATCCAGCACCTGAGTCTGGTGGCTCCCACTTGTAATACTAGTACTTAGGAGGCTGAGGGAAGAGGCAATCTCAACCTGACATCAGCTCTGGCAACTTAGTGAGACCGTGTCTCAAAAAATGAAAACATAAAATACAGAACCACAGCCAGCACTGTCTTTCAGGGCAGGTATTGAGTGCAGTGGCATCTTCCAGGGAACTCTTGGCAGGGAACCCGTTTGGCGGGCTGTGCCCTCTCTTGCCCCAGCCTTGGCACAAAACAAATGCCCAGCCCACCAAACTCACGTGGAAAGCCTGCCTGTCGGATGAGCTTCTTTTTGGACAGCACCTTCATCGCCTGCAGAAGATCGATCCCTGTTACAGCAGGAAGGAAGGAGGAGGGAACAGGAAGAGGAGAGGCGAGGGCCCCCTCCACTCCAGGCCTACTCCAGCTCCCAGGCCCCTGGCAACTTTAGGACATTTTTAGTGAGCACCCTCAAGTAGCTGAGTGGCTACCAGGCTGTATGGAGAGCAGATGCCTGGGGACGGGTCAGTTTCTGGTCTGCAGGCCCAAGTAGGAACCTGTGAGCCTTTGTCACTGCTGTGAATCAAAGCTTTACTTGTGAGGAAGTATCACTCGCTCAAGCTCACACGGCTGGCATGTCAGAGTCAAGGTTTAAACCTGCACTGGCTCCAAGGGCTCAGCCGCAAGGGCGATTTGTTCAGCTGCTGCCTTTTTCTCAGATCTATGGAGGCTGAGGAAGGACAGCTCAGATGAGGGTAGGAGAGATCCCTGCTGCACCTCCCACTTCCCCTCGCATCTCCTCATCTATAAAGCAGGGTGCTGCTTCCTTGCAGACAGCATCAGAAAGAAATGAGACAGTGTGGAGGTCCCCTACCCCCAACCCACCAAGGCTCTGCCAGGAAGGGGAGCACTGGCAAGGCTGGGGAGGGGGAGGGGACAGGGTACTCACATAGTAGGTATTGTCATTCTCATTGTAAGCCAACTTGACCACACCATAGGAGCCCTGGGTAAAGGGAGATGCCATGACATACTATCCAAAAGTTACAGTCTGCAAAATGAGGGCCCTGAAACAGAGCTGGCAAACCAGCAGCCCATGGCCAAATGTGCCCTGTCATTGTATTTTGTTGTACCTGCAGTTTTACAAAGCTTGAATTAGTGGCAAATATTTAAAATCATATTTCTCGCTTCTTTTGAAAAAGCTATCATTTGACCCCCTGTCCATCATCTGGCTCCAGCCCCCACCACTCCCCACTGTCGCCCCAGGCTCGCCTCACCGCTGGCACCGCCAACCCAGAAAGACATTTCTATTGGCATGTGAGTTTGGGGCCTGTGTAATGGTGTAATGGTACTGCTCACTAGCAATGAGTCCCTTGACAGGAAATCCACTAATGTAATAGGAACTATCTCCAGGGTAAAACTAGATTTCTCTGGAAGCTTTCTGAGCTTTTGCAGAAACATGTTTAATAAATTTTTTTTAAAAAAAGGCTTTAATAACAAAGCTCAGCCCTAGCCTTGCCTTCTCCTAAGCCCCAATGGGTCCCTCCCACCAGCGTGAGCAAGTCCAGTCACCGTGGACAGTGAGCCAGGCCCCAGGGACACTTACCTTTCCAATCTCGTCCTTCAGTGTGTACTGATTCAATTGCACACAGTCCTAAAAAGCAAGAAGAACATGAGAAATAAAGATATGCTAAATGAAATCATGTACAAACAAATACTCACATACAACCAGGACCCCAATCAAGGCAGACTCCTGGCTCCCCAGAGCTCCCCCAGCCAGAGCTTCTCCAAGTAACCACTACCTTGGCTCCTCACAGCATATCTCTCCAATGTCATCATACTTGATCGACATGTAATCTTTTGTGTTGGGAAGGTAGCTCAGTGGTAGAGTGCTTGCCTAGCATGCATGAAGCCCTGGGTTCAATTCCTCAGTACCACATACACAGAAAAAGTCAGAAGTGGAGCTGTGGCTCAAGTGGTAGAATACTAGCCCTTGAGCAAAAGCAGCTCAGGGATAGTACCCAGGCGCTGAGTTCAAGCCCTAGGACTGGCTAAAACAAATGTAATCTTGCAGCACTGGGGCATGGCTCTGTGGTAGAGTGCTGAACTAGCAGGTACAAGGCCCCTGAGCTTAAAACTCCAGTACCACCAAAAAAAGGGAAAGAAAAACAAGGAGGAAGACAGAGCAAGGGAATAGGCAAGCCTTTGGCTGAGAGAAACTATCATTCATCTTGACAGAAGACTGTGTCCCAAGAATCTTGTAATTCAATAATAATAAGTCCAATAATCTAATTAAAAATGAGCAAGAAAGCCAGGGGCCCATGGCTCACGCCTGTAATCTTAGTTACTTAGGAGGCTGAGATTCAAGGATCACTGTTGGAAGTCTACCCAGGCAGCAAAGTCCATGAGACTCTTTTTTTTTTTTTTTGGTCAGTTGTGGGGCTTGAACTCTGAGCCTGGGCGCTGTCCCTCAAATTCTTCAGCTCAAGGCTACCGCTCTACCCACTTGAGCCACAGCTCCACTTCCATTTTCTGGTGATTTATCGGAGATAAGAGTCTCACGGGTCTTTCCTGCCCGGGCTGATTTTGAATTGTGATCCTCAGATCTTAGTCTCCAGAGTAGCTAGGATTGCAGGCTTGAGCCACCAGCGCCTGGCCCATGAGACTTTTATTTCCAATTAACCACCAGAAAACTGTTAGTGGAACTGTGGATCAAGCAATAGAGTGCTAGCCTTAAGCAAAAAAAGCTAAGGGAAAATGACCAGGCAGGACAACTACCAAGAAAGAAAGAGAGGATGAGACAGAGAGGGGGGGAAAAAAGGAGAAAGAGAGAGAGAGAGAGAAATGGAAAGAGAGGGAAGGAGAGATGGAGAAAGGGAGGAAGGGGTGGAAAGAGGAAAGGAGAGGGAGGCAGGCAGGCAGATGGAACAGGGGAAGGGGTAGATGGCAGGGTCCTGGCCTTGGGGAAAGGTGGCACCTTGCTAATGTGGTTAGGGTCACCTGGGAGACCTGACCACAGAGCCACGGGTTCTGCCAGCACCAGAGTCTGCAATGTGGGGAGGAACATGCCAGTCTCTGCCGGAGCCCAACCTGTTCTGTGTGGTCACCAGCCACCAGCAGTTTTGGATGGTAGTGGTAACTGGGTGCAAAATGCAGGGTCTTCAGTGCACCGGAGGCCTTTGGGGGAGCCCAGCCCCACCAAGAGACCCTTTCCAGCGTCCCGCTCACGCACCTGCATGCCTGTGATGGAGACGTGGTGAGACTCCACCGTGGGCCGCCGGGGAAGCCGTGGTGAGGACTGCGGGGAGCTGGCGGGCGAGTAGGACAGGGAGGGGGCACAGCGACCGTTCACACCAGGGCTGCCAGCAGTCAGCCTACCCTGGGGTTGCTCCTGCAGGGACAGTTTTCGAGCTGAGAACCGGGCCTGGGACCCTGACGCGTTAAGGGAGACTTCGTGGCCATCAGTCTCCAGGGTCCGGCCCCGGGCCAGACGGAGATCCACAGCCCGGCCCGGCTCACACTCAGGAACCACGATGAAGGACTCCATGCCCAAGCGGATGCTCAGGGAGGAGAGGCCCTGGAGGGCCTCACAGGGCTTCTGGCCTTCACTGCTGCTGCCCCTGCCCCCCAGTTCATCCTGGGGGGTGGTCTGGTCACTGCTGGGCTGGCTAGAGACACATGATGACATGATGCGAGGGCCGACTTCACCCACCAGCACACCAACCGCAGCGCTCCTCCATCCGCAGCACTGCCACCTGCAGGGAGAGGGAGGCTGAGAGCGCAGGGACCGGAAGGCAGCCCCATCCTCCAGTCCAGGCTGTGTTCCAATTCCTGCCTTGAGTCAATATCCTTGAAAAAAAAAAAAAAAGACTTTGCAGCTTAGAGTGGTGTCACACACCTGTAGTCCCAACACTTGGGAGGATAGAAGGATGCAGGTCAGAGAGGCCTGTTCAAGCTGCTAATGAGGCCCTGCCAGTAGAATGCTTGCCTAGCATGTGCAAGGTCCTGGCTTCAATCCTCTAATGCCAAGTACTACAAAGCACCAAACACAACAAAAACAATGACTAAAAAAAAATTTCTGGCTTACCCTCCCTTGGGCAAGTAGTTGAGGTCTTAGAACCAGTCTTCCCTCCCTCTGAGAGCGGCTGAATACCAAGCCACCTCTCACATGTTACCACTTGCAGTGAGGCTACTCGGAAGCCCGGCACTGCAATAAATACCTGTAGTCCCAGCACTCAAGAGATTGAGGCAGGAGGCTCATGAGTTCAAGGCCAGCCTGGGTTATATAGCAAAAACAAAACACCTCACAAAGCACGACGTGACCCAACCCACAAATGTGTAGAGAAAAGCATACCCCACACCTCTCATACACTGTTCCTGGAGGAATAGGCTATAAGAGTTCCTAAAAAGACAGCCAGGCCTGGTGGTGCCTGGGAAAGTCAATGGAGAGATCTTTTCTTGCCAACAGAAAAACAATTGTTTATCGATCTCGTCTCCAGGCCAAGGACACAAGCCTTCTACCCCAGCAAACTGCTTTTAATCAGTCTCCTTGGTGAGCTGGCCGCCTCTCACGCAGCCTGGCCTTTAAGGTCTGGAAGGAGGCAGAGTGTGGTGCAGACCCAGGTCAAGGCCACTGCGCTAGAGGGGCTGGACTGTCCAAGCCTCAAGAGTCTGGGCCAGTGTTCCAAATCATGGGGGGGAGGCACGAGAGTTACCAAGTCTCCCCAGTAGAAAACCATACAAAAGCTTTGCATAAGGACAGCAAGATTAGCAGGCATGGTGGCTCACACTAGTAATCCTAGCTACTTAGGAGGCTGAGATCTGAGGACCATGGTTCAAAGCCAGCCCGGTCACAAAACGCTATGAGACTTTTATCTCCAATTAACTACCAGAAATCAAAGTAGTGCTGTGGCTCAAGTGGCTCACCTTGAGCTGAAGAGCTCAGGGTCAGCGCCCAGGCCCAGAGTTCAAGCTCTATAACCCACAGGACTGTGGCTCGGCCGAGCCTCAGGCCCAGGCACTAGCTCATCCCCGCCTGCTTGTACAACCCTCCCATGTCAGGCCTGAGGGACAAAGGGTGGGGCATCAAGTCTAGGAGAGCCCTGAGAAGAGGACCTTCCTGCAGAGCTGCTTGAGTTTGACCAAATGCCAGGCATCCGGGCCCTGTGCCCTGTGCCTAAGCCCTGGTCCTTCTCTGTGAAGCGTCCGCGCTCACAGGGCACCCAGCAGAAGCTGCAGGCCTTCCTGCAGCAGATGGACCCAGCCCCTGGCCAGGATGAAGGCAGGGTTCTTCCTCTGCCAGGAAGCCAAATGGCACCGGCCTCCAGGAAGTGCTTTGCCATTTCCCAGGGGCTATGTCCAGCCTGGGCCTGCTGCCTGCCAAAGGCAGAGTTCCTGGGCAGAGCTACCACCCGGCTACAGCCTGGCAAGAAGCCAGTGGTGGGGGCAGGGGAGGACAAAAGTTAGAACCTAAACCCAAGGCAGTCTGCTGCTCTAGGTCCTTTACCCACACCCTCAGGCTAATGAAAGGAGCCCCAAACCGCCCCAAGTTCCTAACAGGCCAGCAACAACGGCCCTCCCCGGACCCAAGGCTCAACCAGTAACAGCGTCTCTTGCTTAGGAAAACTGAGGCCCAAGAAGTCCTAAAGAAAATTCAATCACGGATTCAGTCTTTAACAAACCGTAGAGGACCTGCTATATGTGGGTAACCAAGACGGAAGGGCTTCGGCCCTTTTTTTTATTTTTTGGTCAGTCATGGGGCTTGAACTCTGGGCCTGGGTGCTGTCTCTCAGCTCTTCAGCTCAAGGCTAGTGCTCTACCACTTGAGCTACAGAGCTACTTTGGGCTTTTTTCCCCCCTACTTACGTGGTGCTGAGGAATAGAACCCAGGACCTCATGCATGCAAGGCAAGCACTCTACCACTGAGCCACCTTCCCAGCACCAGGGCTTCGACTCTTGAGGGAGACAAGAATTTAAGAGGAGGCCCTCAGTGGGTCCACAGCACAAGCTGGGGAGGCCTCCAGAAATAGGAAAAGATACCAATGGGCACACAGGGGCAGGCAAAGGTATGGGGTAAGGATGGCTTCCCCTGGGAAATTTTCTTGTTCATGACAGTCTGTGTAGCCAGGCTGGCCTGGCACTCCTGATTCTCCTGCCTCAGCCTCCCAGGGGCTGGAATCATGGTGTGTGCCGCTGTAGTCCATGGTTCTGGAATGTTCTGTTTAGCCTGAGCACCAAAGGCTGAGCAAGTACCGGGGTGGGGACGGGGAGGGTAGAACGTGATGCGGGGACAGCCTGTGGCAACCAAGAGGTGGGAGAGCAGAGGGACCAGGTAGTCCTGAAAGGAACAGGGACAGGAGCTGGGAGCAGAGCCTCTTGCCTCCGGTGGCAAACACAGGTTCAAGGACCGCCCTTCCCCCCCTGCTCACAGCCCTGCACACCTGCTGTGGCTGAACACTGTTCTCGGAAAAGAGAGGCTGAGATGGACTCCTAGCTCTCAGTCCTTCAGAATGTGGCCTGTTGGGGACAGGTCTTTGCAGAGGAGTGGAAGAAAACAAGCCATAGACGACCTCAATGCAGCAGGTGTGGGTCCAGGTGTGGACGCATGGACACACGGTGGCAAAGGTGGCTAATGCCTCTGCAGGACAGGATGCCACAGAACGCCAGCAGCCGGGGCCAGGGCCAGGCCACAGCCTGCAGACCCCAGGCCTGGCGACACTGACTTGAAGAGCTGTGCTGTGGCTCAAGGCCGGCTTTGTGGCCCCCCATCACACTGGTGTCAGAAGGCTAACACAGCGCCCACCCATCGTGGGCTTCACAGGAGCCGGCTGTCTCAGAAGGACCTTGGCAGTGTGCCACTGGGCCCGGCTGGCCTGCTCCAGACCCAGGGTCTCTCTCCTTCAACACTAGTTTGGAGATACTGACATGGACACGGGTCCCCAAAGACAAAGGCCGCCTCTTGTGTGACAGTAAGAGAGGTCTCTGGTTTGGAGTCTGCAGAGCCCCATCACAGTCCCTAGAGGGGGAAAAACAATTTGCAAATGGGGACCGCTGGCTGACACATGGTCACTGCCATGTTTTCTTGGCATGCTCCATGCTTGTAACTATTGGAATGAGATGCCAATGTTTCAGAGCCAGTTTCAGATCAAAAGCAAAAGTTCCAGAACCTCAGGCTGGGGATATGGCTTGATGGTAGAGTGCTACAGCTGTCAAATTTCTAGAATCTCTTAAAAGAATCAGAGGGGGGACCAAGATGGCGACGGGGCAGTAGGGAACCGCCACAGCTCTCTCCAACCAAAAAGAGAGTTCGAGTTCCAACGCTTAATCTCCCCAAGAGACCGACAACAACAAAAAGACGAACACTCAGAGAAAAACCAGAGGT